CCCCGCCGCAACGGCCCCGCCCAAGAGCGCGCCGCGGCGGGGGCGTGCCTTCCGGGTCCTGCCAATCCTGAGCCGGGCGGTCTGGCCAGCGAGCGACGGACCCCGCCCGGGAAGAGCTCGCTTTTGTTGTCGACTAGCGGACGGGCTGTAAATCCTTTAAGTCAAGTAAATCCATTGTTTTGGTTGGTGTTCGACAGTTTACAAATTAATTAACCGAATACTTTTATCCGTTGAATTGGCCCACGCTGTCATGTCTGTGATTAAATTTTAGGGGCAGAAATGAAATGGGGAACACCGATGTTTCAGCTGTTCCCAGCAGAAAGTAGTGACTTAAAGAAGCATCGGGAGTGTGAAGTTTAGTGTTCTCTCCAGGGAGCTTCTCTCTTTTGTGCTGGAACCTCATGACCACCCTGGCAGTTAGTGGTGTCGGAGGAGCGCTGCGGGTCAATACATTGATACATTTACCCATGAAGTAGCTATTGAGTACCTACTGAGAGTCAAGTGCTAGTCGGAGGTGCTGAGGATAGTGCATCTGTGAAATTTAGAATCTACAGGAAAGGGAACTAAATAAATATGTCGAATGATGCTAAGAGTAAGGTAAAGAGATTCAGTCATGGTGTGAGTGTGTGTTTGTGTAGGGGGAAAGATACAATTCTATATTGCAACTGCAGGAAAAGCCTTAGTGATAAAGTGACATGAAAAGATTTGAAGGGAATGAGCGGGTCATGCAACTATACATTTATTTAACAAATACTTCCTATGTAAGTACCCACAGTGAGAGTGGAGTGACAGGGATGCAGATATATTTATTTCACAAACATTCCCTATATAAGTACTTATGAGAAAGCTGTGACTCAGGAGAGCCGAAGAGGATAACATCAGACCACGGTAGTTTTCAGACTGCAAAACCATTGCAGTTTTAAGAGGAGGAAAATACATATATAAAAGATTTGTTTATTTATGCATATAAGAACTGGGGTATAGGCCAGAGGTGCAGGTGTGAGATAATTCACAAGGACAGAGTAGAGAGCAGAACAGGCAAACCTACTGAAATACACTGCTGAGGGGAGCAGTGGGTAGGTCAGGAGAGGTCTGCCAGGCCATGTGGGTCACCTCCCTGGCTGGGAATCAAACTCATGCTGCAGTGGCTGAGGGCAGATTCAAAGT